TCAAACAAACAGACTCTTCTACTTTATATATATAGATACATAGTATAAGATATAAGATTATTAAAATTGAAATTTTACAGGGTATACCAGGATCGCTAGTGTAGCTTTTGGTCTCTTAACTATTATTTGCTAATGTGCAGTCATTGGAAATTAAATATTTGACAGTTGTTTTTGACATGATTGCTTACCATCAGGTGACTTGTCTGTTCGTTTACCGACTTAACCCTTTGAGTACCGTCATTATAGACACAATTAAAGAACAATAGGTTGCAGTCACCGGTCTCCTCGCAGTGTTAGACAGTTTAACCCATAAAAAAAGTTAGTGATTGGACAAACAAGATCTCATGTGACATCAGCGCCATCTTAGGGCCTAGTATGAATTTTATTACATTCCGAGTACAGCACAGCCCTCTAATTGGTTGATTAATTGAATCAAGCCAATCAGAGCGCCGAACGTCGTAAACGTGTCGATCACGTTAACATAGAACAAGCTGGCACTAGGCCCTTTGGTGAATTATCAAATATTAAACCTTTTTCATATTGGAATTTAGTCAAAGTTTGCCCACTTTCTCTATTCTAATTTAAAAAAAAAACGTAAAGCGAAATCTCACCCATTTCCTTGAGATGTTCTTGGTCTGTAAACAATGACTGCATTTTAATCAACTGATACATTTATATAAATAAACAAAAGTAAACAAAATAGTTACCTACCCAGCCCAAACCTCGCTGAGCGAAGTCGTTAATTCATTATTATATTACCAAATATTTTTTGAATTAAGAATGATTCTTATTTATTTATTAATGCATTAATTATTGTTAACAAATTAGTTAATCAATTCATTATTATTAATTAATTAATAAATTATTAACGTATTAATTATTAACGAATGAATGAATAAATTAAAACTACGCATACTTACAAGTTATACCCGGGAGTTTGTCGAGTTTTGATGGCAATTATGTAATTTGAAAAAAAAAATATTGTAGGTGATTTATTCGTTATAATAATAATTTAGCCTTTCAAATAGTACACGTACTTACGTAGGTAGGGTAGTTATTTTAAAAATAAATAAAATCTTACTTGACTGCCTCGTTGGCTGAGTGGTCGCAAGTGCGACTGCTGGGCAAGTGGTCTCGGGTTCGATTCCCGTGTCGGGCAAAGTATTACTGGGTTTTTAAAAACTCTTAGTAGTAGCACGGAGCCTGGAATGTGCCCGGTATATGGCAATAGGCTCACCCCCTATTACATGGGACTCATAACATAAATAGTGAAAAGTGGGTGTTACATTGTACAGTGGCATAATGCACCTCTGCCTACCCCTTCGGGGATAATAGGCGTGAGGTTAAGTTATGTTATGTAAAAACTTACCTATCTTATTTTCTAATTTTTTCAGCGTAAATTAATGATTAATTAATAATTAATAAACTTATAAAAACATATGTATGTTATTATTTTAAATAAACACACTCACGATTTTTCTTTACTCCTGTAAATTCTTCCAAACTTGTCAATTTTTCGCCGTAAGCTAGAATTATTAATAAATTATTGAATAATAAACTTTCTCAGAAGTGGAAAGACATTTTATTATGTGGAACATACATATTTTAGTCACTGCTTATCTCCCATTGGGGTAGGTGTAGACAATGCAACACATATTGCCACGATTCTGGCACACCTCTTTATCTTTATCTACATTCTACATTCATCAACTAAAAGGTAGAATAAGTGTGGGAGAGCCATGCTTCGGCACGAATGGGCCGGCTCGACCGGAGTGATACCACGGCCGAGCAGAAAACTGACATGAAACAACGCTTGCGTTGTTACCTGAGGCCGAATTACCCTCCCTCCCCAATCTCCCCAATCCGAATCCCCAACGATCCTCAAATTCCAAATCCCCAAAAGGCCGGTAACGCATTTGTAACACCCCTGGTATCAGGTGTCCAAAAGCGACGCCGATTGCTTACTTAAGGTGATCCGTCTGCTCGTTTATCGGCTTATCCAAAAAAATAAAGAATAAACATTTGTTAAAAATACCTATGTCAACGTCTTTTACTCTCTGAGCTGGAATAAAATTTACGAATAAATTATTATTACGAGAGGAAAGTAATATACAGGGTAATATACAGGAATTGCAACTCGACGTATTCCTCTCGGGAGGTGATAATACAAAAAAAATCCTACGAGAGCCCTGAGGTCTCCAGTTCGAAAGTGGCTAGTTTCTGAGATTTTCAATATTTTCGGTTTTGGTGAAAACATCTCGATCTAAGTACAAAAAAAAATCAACAAATAAAAACTACTGATGTAAGCGATTTTGGTTTTAATTTGTTGGCAATACACCAACCAATAAACATTTATTAATACTAATACACACAGAAATATCATTCGTTTTAAAATAGCAAGTAAATTAGTTAGTATCAAATTTTGATTGAGTGAGTCATCACCATCACAGCTAATCACCTCCCGTGAGGAATACGTCGAGTTACAAGTCACCTGAGTGCCAAGCACGAATAACTATCGCATTCGTAACGTAACAGTATCAAGTGAGTTAAGCGTTCTGATTGGTTGGTTCACTTGAGCCGGCCAATCAGAGCGCCGAACGCGCTCGATACTATTACGTTACGAATGCGATAGTTATTCGTGCTTGGCACTCTGAGGCCTTCGTACGAATTTGTTTTACGTTTAGAGTAATCGTAACGAGTACGCGTTCGGCACTCTGATTGGTGGGTTCATTGGCGCCGGCCAATCAGAGTGCCGTACGCGTACTCGTCAAGTCGTCACGAATACTTTAATGAAATTCGTACTAAGGCCTCTGTATATACATGTAATAAAACAGTGAAAATACCGCGTCTGTACATATTTTTGAATATTTTGTTTTACACAACTAACCCGCATCGGCGTCGTAATTTCCTTTACTTTGAGTTACTAGAAATATCTGAAAATACAATTAAATAATAAGGTAAACGTAACTAGGATTATAAAAGATGAATATAATTAACTTATCAGAATTTTAATTCAGGATGGAATGTACAGAATCTTCACCAAATACCGTGTTCATTAGGTACATAAAATACAGTTTGGCAAGAAAGAATATGGAATAATAGAGGTCGCTAGTATCGTATCTGTGGCAACCTGGTACACTACGACTCAATCGGTTCCGCTATTTGTTATTTTTATCGAGTTTAAAAAAAGGGAAGTATTGTGTTCGGATGTTTGTTTATCCATGGGATATGGGCTGAACTGAAGTGGATGATTTTTGTTCAAGCACCGCGTCAAACTCTATTTTGCCAAGCTGTATCTAATTTGAAGATTATAAAAAATCTTACCAAAACACAAAAAACAGAATTCATAAAACATATCCTGAGCTCCATTCTGTTTGATAAAAGGAAATATTAAAAACTACATATACATTATATTACTAGAAAAAGTTATAACATAGTTGCCACAACAATGACGAATAGTGGGTACGTTGGAATTAACCCATCAAAATATTTTATGACTTTATTACGAGCTACCAATAAATTCTATCGATTTAATAAACATAAATAAAATGTATGTTCGTAAATAATAAAACTATATATAGATGGACACGTGAGCTATATTATATTCTAAATCCCCAGTCGCGGAGGATTTAATGGGTTGCTGGGGCTCCGGCTCGAAGTGCAGGAGTAGGAACGGGGTGGTTTTTAGTCAGTAAGAGTCTGACACTGCCTCCTGCCTCACCCAGGCGGGAGAAGTCATTCAATGATTTGTCCGAAATCCCCAAATGTCTACCTAATAGGCCGACAACACTCGTAACTTCTTTATTCTTGCGGGGGCTTACCATCAGGTGAATCTATCTCCTATCTACCTGTCTGTCTATACTATATGATAGTAGCAACCTACGGTACAAAAAAAAATTAAGAGCACGATATAGTATTCCGCCTCCACCATCACAGTCAGAAGATAGGCTTTTTCAATAGCATGGTACTACCAAACACACAGCGGATATCATCATACCAGCTGGTTGAAAGTTACCTTATCGCGTCGCCACTCCGCTCCTATCTAAAATGGTATTTACATAACATAACATCACACCTTTTATCCCCGAATGGGTAGGCAGAGGTGCACATTACGGCTCTTAATTGGAATTAAGAGCAGAAAGTGCGTGTTACATTACACTTTTCACTATTTATGCTATGAGTCCCATGTAAAAGGGGTGAGCCTATTACCATATACCGGGCACAATTCCAGACTCCGTGCTACTACTGAGAATTTTATTTTAAAATTCCAGTAATAATGATATTTACCTACCTTCGTTGAAAAGAAATCCTATTGTTTCCTATTATTAGCCTATTTTGGAGCTAAAAGCTCCATATTCACGCTTCTCTTAGAAGTAAGAAGTAAGAAGTTCAGTTTGAGGACCGTAGCATTACTGTTCCCCAGCAAAGAAGTGAATAAATAAAAAATAAATAATAAATATCATTCTTAGGGACGTACCGCTCATCAACATATCAGTCACGAGCCGTCCACCTGAACATGGGCCTCTCTCAATGATTTCTACCTTAAATATATTTAGATACAGTACTGATTAACCCTTAGGGCTACATTTTAACGGGACCCCTTGGCAGCGCAACCAGTTGCCCCTACCAATAAAATGTATACAGCTCTATAGAGAGTAACAATCATGGTGGCCACTTCGTTAAGCAACCAATGTGACGGCCCGATCAGCTCGAATAGCATTAGAGGTCTAGCGACACTGGTGTCTTTACGGTGTCTAGTTTGGTAGTTTACGGTGGCGCGACTGGTTGGGCAGCCATGGTGTCCTGCTGAATGTAGTCCTTAGAATGTCACGTCAGTCTTCGGTGCCTGCCACTAGTGGAGGTTTAACTTTCACCTTTTAAATGTTTTCACTTAAATTTTTTGTTGAAGTTAAAAAGTGCCTTCCTGATCTAATTGAAATACATGATTTTGAATTTAAACTTGGCAGTTAAAATATTAACATTTATTTCTTCTGTTTCAGCACCACGACCATCACCACGAGCACCACGAGCATCACGACCATGGCAACGGCAACCATGATCACGGTGATCACCATCATCACGAACCTGGCATGCCCTTTGACTTCTCCTACCAGGTCTGTCTTCTTAAATATCCAATAAAGAATACGGGCTTTTTTAACTTAACCGACATACGACATAGCTGCTTCGCTTCATTTAGATACTTTCATCCATGTCTTTAGCTTACCATACACGCACAAATATCCCTGATCTGCCTGAACTTGCTACCTGACGATTAAACCTGTCTCTATGGCGAAAAAGGGCACGAATAGACACTGGCACAATAGCTTTTTATGTCTTCGTGTGATTTGTTGATTGAAGGTGCCATATAATATTTTGCCTGTCGGTACCACTTGTTGAGTTTGAAGCCACTAGGTCGATACACTTGCGACCACTCGAGACCAAATAATGCATGTTCATTCAATTCTATTTTCTGCCATCAGGTGGCGGAAGATGGCAATGATTACAGCCACAACGCGATCTCCGATGGTGACATAACCAGGGGAGAGTACAGAGTGGCCCTGCCCGATGGTCGTACCCAGATCGTGAAATACACAGCTGACTGGAAGAACGGTTTCAACGCGGAGGTTAGTACCGCTACTCGATAATAGATGGCGATGTTTTTAAATTGTGTTTGCAATTGCAAGTCGATTCATGAATAGAGAAATTTTATTTTGTCTATTCTAAAAGTTTTTCGAGATTTTATACTGTTATTGGAAATTTTGATAGTTACGTTTGTGACTAGACATACTTAGAAGAAAATGTTAAAACACGGATATATTTTTCTTCCAGGTCACATACGAAGGTGAAGCGAGGTACCCTGACCAGCCAGCTGGCGGTTACGGCAGCGGCAGTGCGTCAGGAAATGGTTACGGCAGTGGAAGCGCATCCGGCAACGGTTATAACAGTGGATCCGGCAGCACTGGTGGCCAAGCTTACGTACCACCCAGCCAAGGAGGCGGCTACCAATACTAAACAAAACCCCCAACGATACGCAGGTTTACAATGAACTGAAGAAATAATTTCTTACTAAAATTACGCGAAAGTTAACTGTAGTCGATTAATTACTAGTGAAACGATCCCCTCTCTACATCTGTCACTATGACAGTTATTATAAAAACATGTTTCGTGTGAGGCAGCTGGCAGTGGAACGCTTTTCAAATGCTTAACTCGATCTTGTCGAAATGTGAGCATGGCACCACATGACTTAATTCGCGTAAAATTAGTCTGAAATATTGTGTCCAACACGTCTGTTAATAAATTACCTTGTAACTGCTAATATTCTTTAAAACATACAAGATTTTAATCAACCCTTTATTTACAAAATGGCATGCCTACAACATCACAAAAAAGTCGACTAAAGGGTCTGATTGAAATCCTGTGCGTCGTAAAGATTTTATTAGTGTAATTGTTTTTAATATAATACCTTTTTGTGTTAAGTTAGTTTTTATTAACATAGTTACCGAAATATAGTTACCAATTGTTATAATTAAATATACTTAATATAAAAATATACTTCAGTGGCTAGGTAATCAATGCTATAAAACTGGGCAGATGAAGCTTGTATTTCCTTGTTTTCCCATAAATATATACAATTACCTTATTATTATTACCTATGAAGAAATCTAGCCATATGTACCTAGTTGAATTAATTTATGAGAATAGGTACATAATGTATACTGCTAGTTTTACATATTTACCTATTTTATTACCTGTGTAGCTCTTTAATGTAAAATAGTATAACTAAATAATGATACCTTTTGTATTATAAAAAAAGGAAGCTAGAAACCATATTGTGATGTTTAAAAAAAGACAAAATTGCTTGTAATAGTTTTTAATTAATAATACTCATTACACTGCCGTATTTTGTATATTTATTGTATAGGATAGAGGAGTAAATTTGACAAATCATTGTTAAAATATGAAATGTCCTTTTGTACCTTATTTTTTTATAAAAATAAATGTAAGCTACAGTTATTTATGTTGTTTTAATACTCTTCAAAATAAGAATTAAGAAAATCTTTAAGCAACAACCTTCACATCTACATCTACACTTTCAAATAGTTTATGAATGGTCAAGATCCAAGTGGTCACTGGTGACCTTTCACTAACACTGTTATATACCTTATTTCCGATGTTTAGAGACTACTTTTGTACGAACAAATGTTGTGGATTTTTCATAATCAGACATTTACGAGTTAAATATGTCACAGCCAAAGTGATTAATTTGATATTATTCATAACTAGCTGTTGCCCGCGACTTCGTCCGCGTAGATTAATGACTTCTGACAGAATTAACCAGAATCAATTCAGTGCCCAAGTAAGATTTACCTATTTTGAAATGATTTATCGTAGTTTCAATAAATAAATAATCCCGCAAGGATTTTACCAGTACAGTGCCCGATCACGTAAGGTTTGAGTAATAAAAACTATTCTATCGACTATTGTTGTACCGAATCTCTCTAGAATAAGTTCAGTGGTTAAGAGTTAGAGAGTCCTGGGGCATTGACGCATAGTTTCCGTTCTCGTGAGACATCTGTGAAATAACTATCAAACGTTACCCAGGTCCTAAATCATCGTTTTACCGAATGTAATTCAAAAAGATTCAATAATTATAAATTCAATGGCTAAGAAGATTTAAACAAACTCTCATTCCTTATTTTATCCCCTTAGGGGTGGAATTTATCAAAATCCTTTCTAAAGATATACCTAGTCATAGTAACTTTATGCATGCAAAGTCTCAGCCCGATCAATTTAAAACTGGCAAAGTATCATACAAACTTTCACCCCCTATTTTACCCACTTTGGGGTGAGAATGTTCAAAAACCTTTCTAAAGGGACGTTTACGTCATAATACCCATCTGCACGCCGAATTTCAACCCGATCGGTGTAAAACTGACAAAGCTTCATACAAACGTTCATCCCCTATTTTACCCCCTTGGGGGTGGAAATTATCAAAATCCTTTCTTAGCGGATGCCTATGTGATAACATCTATCTGCATGTCAAATTTCAATCCGATCGATTTAAAACTGACAAAGTCTCATACAAACTTTCATCCCCTATTTTACCCCCTTGGGGGTGGAAATTATCAAAATCCTTTCACAGCGGATGCTTACGTCATAACATCTATCTGCATGCCAAATTTCAACCCGATCGGTTTAAAACTGACAAAGTCTCATACAAACTTTCATCCCCTATTTTACCCACATTGGGGGTGGAAATTATCAAAATCCTTTCACATCGGATGCTTACGTCATAACATCTATCTGCATGCCAAATTACAACCCGATCGGTTTAAAACTGACAAAGTCTCATACAAACTTTCATCCCCTATTTTACCCCCTTGGGGGTGGAAATTATCAAAATCCTTTCAAAGCGGATGCTTACGTCATAACATCTATCTGCATGACAAGTTTCAACCCGATCAGTTAAAAACTGACATAGTTTCATACAAACTTTCATCCCCTTTTTTACCCCCTTGGGGGTGGAAATTATCAAAATCCTTTCTTAGCGGATGCCTACGTCATAAAATCTATCTGCATGACAAGTTTCAACCCGATCTGTCCAGCGGTTTGGGCTGTGCGTTGATAGATCACTATGTCAGTCAGTCAGTCAGTCAATCACCTTTGAATTTTATATATATAGATGATTGGCCATTATAACACCTAGAGAATTTGGTCAAAGTGATAAATGCAGCAGGATAATCACATTGACTAGCTATTATGAATTATATCTTCGAAGACTTTGATAAAGTAATAAAACAAGCAGGTGTAAATAAGCAGGGCTGTTTTGCAATACAGCGCGGCGGCTGATCCGATTCTCAATATGAGTCGTTCTGCAATAAGTAGTGTGATCGATGCGAGACGTTCTACATTAAGTCGTCATGGGTAGTCGTATTCATTGTTTTCGAGGATGGTAAAACCGATGGTGCTGTCAAAATGAAAATCCAAGATGACCGCTGCCCGAAATTTTCAAATCATCGTTCATGGTTTTCGATGGTGGTGAAATGGATGGTGCTGTCAAAGGTAAATCAAAGATGGCGGCTGTACGAAATTTTCAATTTATAGTCATGAATGTCGTTTGTTGGAGAGATTATTTCTGGTTAGTTAACACAACCTAAACTTGTTAATAAAAATTAAAATGTCACTTGTCACAATAGCAACGTTAATTTTTTGCGAATTTTGACAGCCGGCTCTCTTCCTTTTTCGATTTTTGATGTCTCGTGTGTAATTTTCTGTGATCGCTGTAGGAATAAATAAATTTGCTGTAATCTCCATCGTATTTTTCATGTATCACGCAAATTTCCAACATGGTAACAGAGCGCGGTTGGTAAAAGTGTATACTCATATTTTGGCAAGATACTTGATACTTGGAATAATTGACTGCACGGTTGGCGTGGTGGTTGGGCAACTGATTGCCGCGCAACGTGTCGCGGATTCCCGCATGGAGCAATATCCACAGATTGTTGTTCCGGGTCTGGGTGTCATGTGTATGTGAACATGTATGTTTGTAAACGCACCCACGACACAAGAGAAAATCCTAGTGTGGGGAAACGTTTTTTAAGAAAAAAATTACCGGCACCACACGGTGTGACCCGGCATTCAAGAAATATGGCTTTACCGGCGATCAGGCAAATCAGCGTTGAGGAACTGAAAGGTGCAGAGAACTACTCAACGAAATTCACAATGCGCATGTTGCTTATCCACGAGGAACTATGGAATTGCGTGAAAGCAGAACCCAAAGAAGATTGCGACAAGGTAAAGTTTGACAAAGCGTCAGCGCGCATAGTGCTTTCCGTGACACCGGTGGTAATTCCGTACATTCGTACAGCGAAGAGTGCACATGAAGCGTGGAAAATACTGCAAAACGCCTACGAGAGACGTGGCCTGAGCAGAAGACTAGGTTTGCTGCGTAGCCTCAGTAACAGTACTAACTTATTGTAGAATAGCTCAATGGAAGTCTATTTAAACAAAATAAACGACAAATTCGTTGCAATTATCATGCAGGGTCTCACAGATGACTACGACCCACTAATCATGGCGATTGAGCATTCAACTACCAAACTGTCTAAGGATATCATTTCGAAATAATAGTACAGGAAACCCAAACACGGGAAGAAAAACTGAAAAAACAGCACTTATCACACAGAAGTAACCAAAGTGTTCGGTTGCGGTGCCAGGGGACATATGATAAGGAACTATCCAAAGAAAACAGGAACAGCCAAAGTAGAACACCAAGGGAATGACTCACGGCGCGTCGCGTTGCGCGCGCGCCTCAAAGAGCCATCAGACCACCACAGATGGGGCCCAATAGGGCCGATGCCGATTCGGAGTCGCGGAGAACCTAACGGGTAACCGGGGCTCCGGCTCGACGTGCAGGAGAAGGAACGGGGTGGTTTTTAGTCAGTAAGAGTCTGACACTCCCTTCCGCCTCACCCAGGCGGGAGCAGTCATTCGATGATTTTCCCCCTTAAAAAAAAAAAAGGGAATGACTCACCGACCCAGAAAAATCCAGTGAAGAAGTCAGCGAGGAACAATAATAATTCTGGCAGCTCTCTCAATGAAAGTTAATAGTGACGTGTGGTACATAGACTCCGGAGCGACAAACCATATGTACAATAGTGAAAAAGTGATGGTGAAGTGCAACCGTAGTAAATCCATAGATGTAAGCATAGCAAACGGTAAAAGGTTATCAAACGTGGTCTTAGGTGATGTACAAATTAATTTAGTTGCTCCAAAAATGTACCTACGGTTTTACCATCCCCGAAAACCATGAAAACGACCCCGATGACGATAAATTGAAAATTTCGTGCAGCTGCCATCTTGGATTTACATTTTGACAGCACCAACGGTTTTATCACCCTCGAAAACCATGAATACAACATCAAAGACGATATTAAATTGAAACTTTCGTGCAGCCGCCATCTTGGGTTTACATTTTGACAGCACCAACGGTGTTACCACCCTCGAAAACT